AGATAGATAGATACAGATATTATTTTGTTATCTATGGTATCTTTAAACATAATATAGTTACCCTAAACATTTCTTTTAGCCATATCTGCTTTTCTCATGACTTTGTCTGTGATCATGGTTACTATTCATGCTTGGATGAATTCACCTAAAGCATAATAAATTCCGCTCTAGCGCCTCATGTTTACAATGGTTATACCGTAATGTAATATAATACATTACAATGGAGCCAATGGTTCTTAATGTTTCAGGTATGTTTCTTATAAATGACATGTTGTTGGATTCTGCTTTCTGATACATTCTGCTATCCCTTTCCATTTTATGAGTGCATTTATCCCATTCATGTTCAGTGTTGTTATAGTTAATTGTGTATTTCTCTCCATCATAACTTCTTATACTTTTTCCTTTTTTTCCCCCCTTCTCCCTGTTTACAAACATGAAATGAGTGGAGAAAGAATCTCTTTGACATTAGTCATCTATAATGGAAATGTTCTAACTCTACTTTTCTGCCCTAACTCTACCTAGTCCAGATCCTCATCATGGATTCCTGTTTTCTTTTTCTACCTGGAATAAAATCTTTATGATCCACACTCTGAAACTGAAATTTTATTTGCTTTTATTTACTCTTATTTCCAGCCTAAGCATTGGTCCCTTCTGTTGCAGATGTAGAGGTAGGCTGGATGTGGGTGACATGCTGGTCTGAGCCCCCTTGGAGGGCTCCTGGCACGTCCAAACAATAACAACAAAAGCAACAATTGCTTCATGGTCTTTTGAAAGGTCCCGAAACACTGATTTCTTTCCCTTGAATGGAAGCCTGGCGCCTTATGCTGCACTGACTATGATTTTCTTGCTATGGCTTTGAATGCCTTAAGGCTAGCATTGCCCACCTCCCTGAACCTGTTAGGGGCTGGCTGTGTCCCTACGTGCCTTCTCTGACAGCCGGTACCCAAGATCCTAATAGCATCAGGCCTGGTTTATTAGAGTTTGATTTGGCCTCCATCTCCCTTGGCATATGTCCTCTGTGAATATGCACAGACTTCTGGCCTCTTTCTTGTGCAGTCCCAGGTTGGCTGGAAGGGCTTATAAATCTTTCTCTTTATTCTCCTTGATTATGGTTTATCTGATTCTCAGGTTTATTAGTCCAGTCCTTACCTCTCTCCAGTCCTTGAGTCATGCATCCTGCAACTGTTTATTGGACATTTCAAACTGTCTCATGGATATCTTAAACTCCACATGTCCCAAACTGAACCCGTTATCTTTTCCCCTCAAATCCTCCCTATTCCTAACTTCCCTTTTACTGCCAAGGGTACCAGAATCCTTCTAATCACCGAGGCTTACAACCTAGATGTCTTCCTCCACTTCTCATTCTCTCCCATCCCACATATCTGATCTGTGATGTCTATTTCATCTTCACAACATCTCTCGTATGTGCCCCCTTCTCTCCTCTGACACTGTCACCATCCTGGTGCAGATCCTCATCACCTTTGCCTGGACTACTGGAGTAGCCTTCTGGTTTGTCTGCCCTCATCAAGTCTCTCCCCTCTCCAGTCCTTCCTCAACTCACCTATCAGGGTGATTTCCCTGGAGCTCAAATCAGAACATGTCAGCCTTCCATTTATTCCATTGGGTATGACTCTTTATGACCCTGTGGACCATACTGTCCATGGAGTTTTCTTGGCAAAAATTTCCTTGTCCAGTGCATTAAGTCAAACAGAGGTTAAGTGACTTGCCCAGGGTCATACAGCTAGTAAGTATCCAAGGCCATATTTGAACTCAGGTCTTCCTGCCTTCAGGCCCAGTGCTCTATCTACTGAGCCACCTGGATTAGATGCCTCTAACAAACTTTAGTGGGTCTCTTTTACTCCAGGATCAACTGTAAAACCATCCATAACCTGTCCCCTTCCTACTATACCAATATTTCTCATATTTTACCCACTTCATACTTTGTCATCCAGTGACACTGGTCTTTTTGTTTCTCTTCCTCAAATACTCCATTTCCTAACTAGATATTCATATGCAATGCACTCCTTTATTATCTCTGCCTCTTGGCTTCCTTTGGATCTCAGCCAAAGTCCTCCTTCTGCAGGAAGCCTTTCCTAGTCCTGCTTAATGTTAGCACCTTCCCTCGGAGATTATCTCCAGTTTATCCCGTGTTTATCTTTACAAATAGCTGTCTGCTTGTTGTGTTCCCCATTAGACCAGGAGCTCCTCGAGAGCAGGGGCTGGATTTTGCCTTTATTTGTATCCCTAGTACTTAGCACAGTGCCTGTCATACAGCAGGCACTTAATAAATGATTGTTGACTTGATTTGGCTACCTTATAAGTCTTTGTTGGGGTATTTGTTGGAGAGCTGGGTTCTCCTAAGGCCTTTCATCTTGTCCTCTAAATCTTTTCATTTTACAGATGGAGAAACTGAGGCTCAGGGCAGTATGTGACTTGTCCATAGTCATCTAGGTAGAATAAATGTCATAACTAAAACTGAAACTTAGGTCTTTTGACCAGCCCTTTTCCCATTACACCCATATTAGTTGGAATTTTCTTAAACTGCTACTGCATTTCTAGTGTATTTCAAGTAACAAATTTCAAGAATTTATTCTGTATTCTAAAGAAGAGAACAGTTATTTTCTTGGTACATTCCTGATAGGGGATTTGGGTTGCTGGGGTCATCACCCCCTTGCATGACCTTCCAGTTCCATTCAGGTACTGGCAGGTTAAACAGCATGGAAACATAAGATGCTGCAGGTGACAGTAGGAACAGCCGCACTTCAATCCACTGTGAACATAGCTTGAGCAGAATATGAAGGGAGAGGGATGCAAGAGGGAAGAAATCCATCTCCCTTTCTGTCCCCAGGAAGTCACATTGATAGGTTTCTGGGGCTTCAAAGGGAGGAGAAAAATCATTAGATAGCTGGGCAGCTAAGATAACCAGATCCAAAGAGAATTCCTGTTATTTTTTTTTTTTTGAGATAGAGAAGACTGAGACAGCCTGAAAAATCCCTCAGAGGTGAAGAAGAGACCCAAAACTAAAGGAAAATTCTAACACAGGGGTTCTTAGCTCAATGAACTTTAAAAAAAATTTTTTTTTATCACTTTTTCAGTATAAATGGTTCCCTTGGTAAGCCTATATACTTTGTTGTATGCATTTACAAATGTGATTCTGAGAAGGGGTCTATAGGCTTCTTTAGATTGCCAAAAGGTTCCATGTCAGAGAGAAGGTTAAGAATCCCGGCCTAACTATAAAAGAAAGGGCATTTATAGTTAGTGCTGCAGATAGAGTGTCCAGCCTGGAGTCAGAAAGACCTGACTTCAGATCTGGCCTCAGACACTTTTTAGCTGTGTGACCCTGGGCAAGTCACTTGACCCTGTTTGCCTCAGTTTCCTCATCTGTAAAATGAGCTAGAGAAGGAAATGGCAAACCGCTCCAGTATCTTTGCCAAGAAAACCCTAAATGGGGTCACAGAGAGTTGGACACTACTGAAACAACTGACAAAATATTATGTTATTAAATGGGATAATAATTGTAAAGTACTTAGCACAATGCCTGGTGCATACCTACTAAGCACTCTATAAGTGTTAGCTATCATTATTATTATTATTATTAACAAATAGCACAGTATCTGGCACATACTAAGCACTATATAAGTGCTAGCTATTATTATCATCATTATTATTATCATCATCAAATGTGATAATAATTTTAAAGCACTTAGCACAATGTCTGACACATAGTAAGCGGCTTATACATGTTATCTATTTTTATTAGCTGGAGACAAAATAGAGATGACAGCTCCCCCTTGGGCCCACTTTGACATGAGGAAGGAAAGAAGGAATGAACAAAGGGGAAGCTGAAGTTTTTGATTTTTTAGAAAACACAGCTGGGTACATACATGTCCTGCAGTCTTTGGATCTCTCCTACTTCCTTCTCTCAAATATATGTGATTATACCCATTTCCCAGATGGTTCCCAGAGGGGGGAAGGGGGGTAAAGAAGCCTTAGGGCTCATAAATACATTGTGCCTCTTCATCCATCTAGTTTTTTTTTTTAATTTATTTTTATTCTGAATTTAAGAAATGCCTAATAAAAACAGACATCTCCACATCCATAATGAGACAGGAAAACAGCAGATCTCGTAAATACAGCTGGCTTTTCTTTTTAAATACATCAGGTCAACACACAACTTTCAAAACTGTCCTGTTCATTTGTGGTTCTTTCTGGCCTTCCTTCCTTTCTCTTCTCTGCATTTTTCTTTAAAAATGCCTAAACAATCCACTTTTCTTTCTGTCCCTTTTTTCTTTTTCTTTTTTCCTACCTTCCCTTTTGCCCTCCCAATGGCAGAAAAAAAATGAAGCCTTTATAAGAAATATGAATCATAAAATAAAATTCTTATATTGGCTGCATCCAAAAATGCGTGTCTCATTCTAGACCTTGAGTCCATCACTTATCTGTCAAGAGGTGAGCAGCCGTCAGCATCCATTTATTCACCTGTCTTTCTGGTTGGTAGCAGTTGTGTATCCGGTTAAATCTAATTAAATTTTTTTTTTAAAGAACCATGACTTAAAACAAAAAAACACCTATTTTGTGAAAGCCGTAGATATTGGAGACAGCATCTTTAGGCAGTCTGGCTCTGGGGAGGATGATTCAAAGCAGGTAAATGTTTCCTTAGCTCATGGAAGATCAGGGCTGGATAATTTCTTCAGGATTGCCCTAGTTCAATTTCCTCATTTTCCTGATGAGGATGATGGGGATGAGCTTGGCAGGTTTCCCAGGGTCCCACAGGCAAATAACAGTAGTGTTTTTATCGGTTAAATAATGGCCTAAAATAAAATCTTCCTTCTTGAATACTGTTGAGTGTCAACTTTGGGGATTGGGCGTTCCCACCCTAGAGCCAGGAAGTAGGCTCATCTTCACCAAGGGCACCTGGCTTATTCTGTTGTTGGTTTTTGTTGGGTTTTTTTTTTTGACATTACTTTTACACTCTGATCTTCTCTCCCTTTCCATCTTAGGTTGAGAGGATTGTAGACAAAAGGAAGAATAAGAAAGGAAAATGGGAATATCTCATCCGATGGAAAGGTTATGGTAGCAACGAGGACACTTGGGAGCCTGAGCATCACTTATTGCACTGTGAGGAATTTATTGATGAATTTAATGGGCTCCATGTGGCAAGAGAGAAGAGGATTAAGTCTGGGAAGCAGACCAACACCCCCAAATTCCTAAGAGAAAACCGAGGAGGTCCTATCGAGAAACTGTCTCATAGACCTGAATCAGGGAAGAGCAAAGGGAGTTCCCACAAACGGAAGCGAATGAACCCTTCCCTCCAAAAACCAAAAAAGGGATATGCCACAAAGCCCCAGTCAGGGGGGGACAGGGCTGCCAAGACTGTTTCTTACCGAACTACGCCCAGTGGCTTGCAAATCATGCCATTAAAAAAGGCACACAGCGGGATACTGAATGGAGATGCCAGTCACGAGAAGGACGGGGGACACTTTGGGGATGCCTCCCACCCGCCCAACTTGGATTTGAACGAGCACGAGGGAGAACCCGAGATGGCCAACGAATGTGAAGTTAGCCATGACTCAGTGGTTGCGAATGGAATCGGTATGTGAGTTAGCTGCTTAAATGCCTTCTCTTGGGTTTTCTTGTGCTGACAGCAGACAGAGAGGGCCGTTTTCTGGTGAGCCATTGTCCTGCCGCCTCGGTTGCCTGGTTGGGAGAAAAAAATCCTTTAGATGGGTTGCCCTCCATGGTGCAGACAGCCAGTAATTCTCCCTTCATCTTTCTCACCCAGGGTCATATGGACTTGGTCATGGGCCCACATTGGTTACAGACATGTATGCATGTGGGGAGGCCAGACCTTTGAAGCACATGTCTGGTCACCAGCCAAGGTGTATAATGAAACTGAAATTTCTGACTGCACTTCAAGGGACCCAAGGCCATGGTAAAACCTCCATAGTCATGCTGTGGGGTCTTTTAGTTAGTAGGGTCTTTTCCAAACCCCCTCGCTCACAATGGCCACAAGGGGCTTATGTGTCCTCAAGGGGTCGATACCACAGCAAGAGGGAATTCTCTTTGGAAAACATTCCACTTTACAGTGCCTAGCCCTCCTCTCATCATTTCCCCAGTACCTGTGGCCCCGTGCAAACTGTATATATGTGTGTGTGCGTGTGTGTGAGTAGTAAGAACTCCAGATCTGTGGGAATATAGAACTTCGGGGGTGGGAATGGAGCAGGACATGCACCCTTTCTCCTCTGGGATTTCTGTGCATTTTTCAGACCCATTCTCACATACGTGATCATTAGACCTCTCCATTGGTAGAGCTACCTTTCCCAGAGTCCTTCAGTGGAGATGGTGCTAAGGCTTAGCTGGTGAAATGGTTCTGCAGCCTGACTCACACCTTCCTCCTTGGGTTTCAGGCAGCTGGCTACTTGATAGAAAGGCAGAATTCCCAGTCCTCCCCTAAGGCTGCCCAGACAGACAGGAGAGTGCCTAGAGAATGCAGGCCTAACCCTGCTGTGGCTACAGCAGCAACGTTGTTCCTGGGGAGGATGGTAGGCCTGGCTTCTTGCAAGTTGTATTGATTGCAGGTCCTTGACACGTAGCTGCTGGTGCCATAGATAGAGTGCTGGGCCTGGCGTCCGGAAGACCTGAGTTCAGCTTTGGCCTCAAGTGCTGTCTGTGTGACTCTGGGCAAGTCACTTAACCCCTGTTTGCCTCCATTGAAAGAAGGGGATAATAGTAGCACCTATGCCCCAGGGTTGTTGTGAGGATCAAATGAGATATTTGTAAAAAGTGCTTGGCAAATAATCGGTGCTATATAAATGCTTGGTCCCATCCTTCCTCCTTCTTTCCCGTGGTTCTGTGCCTCTGCCTGTGTCCATAGAGTTTTATGTTTCACTGCCAGAGATGTAGGTATTGAGCAGTCAGGAAACCCCTCTTTGGGGTGGAGTGGTCCATATAGAGCAGAACTGTGAAATCAAGCTGTCCCAAGTAGGAAGGAAGATGAGGAGGTAGTGGGTCGTGATGGATGAGGCTGGGATGAAGGGGTGGCAGAAAGGGAGAGGGGAATGTCTCCGCATAAAGTTAATGTTGGAGTAGTCCATAAGCATTTGGTAAGCACCTACTATGTGCCGGGCACTGTGCTAAGCACTGGGGACAAAAAGTAAAGACAATCCCTGCTCTCAAGGAGCTTACAGTCTAATGGAGGAGACAACATGCAAAAAATGTACAAACAAAATGTCATCAGGAAAAATAGGAAATAATCATGGAAGGAAGGCACTAGAATTAAGATGGGCTGGGAAAAGAAGTCCTAATTCAAGCAAGATTTTAACTAAACTTGAAAGAAGTCAGCAGTCAGTAGGTGGAGATGCGGAGGAAAAGCCTTCCAGGCATGGGGGACAGCCAGAGAGACGTACAGAGCCAAGAGACCAGTGTGGCCATTGTCCAACCAGATGTACTTGAGCATTCAGGGAACTCTCACTGGAGGTTCCAAGGAATTACCCTGGATTCAAATTTATCATTGTCTGGGAGATAATTAGGGAAATGCTGCATCTAGGAAGACTGGACTAGTGGTCCTCTAGGTGCCAGATGGAGCAATGTATAGAGCACTGCCCTGGGCTCAGGAAGACCTGAGTTCTTCTTCCTGACAACTCTTTAAAGATTCGAAGTCAGCTTTCATGTCTCTATAGTCTTTTCCACTCCAGTCTGAACATACTGTTCATTCGAACAATATTGCCCCCCACCAAAGTGGCAAAGCTGTCTAATATGTGACGGAGACTTCAAGCTTCTAGGGAGTCAAAGGCTTTAGCTCTTGCCCTCACCCAGATACCAACCTTCCTTTCTTCCGGTAATGTCTTGGTGAACATTTAGAGGCAACGTTCCACTTCAGAATAGGAAGTTTCTCAGAAGGGGACCTTATCTGTTCCATTAGAATGGAAGCTGTCTGAGGACAGGGGTTCTATCTCTCCCTTTTAAAAAAAGGCTCCCTGAAGAGGAAGAGTCCTGTTATTAGACTGCAATCTTCATAAGGACAATTAATCACAGTATAGAGGGGACCCTGAGCTCTTGATGGCTATGAGGGTGAAGCCTAAGTTTTAGAAATGCTTCCAAACCCAAGTCTTTTTATACAGGTACAAGGAAGGGTTAGTGCGTTTAATCTAGCTAAGTTCACAGGATCAGATCATCAAAATTTTCCCCTGAGGTGGCAAATTCTCACAAACTATCACAAAAACGATTTGGGAAAGCTAATTGGAGGTAGTGGAAAGGGATCTAGACACAGACTTAGATGACCTGAGTTCAAATCTCAGCTCTACCATTACCCTCTATATGTCTCAATTTCCTTCTCTGTAAAATGAGGTTAAACTAATTGGCCTCTGATTTCACCTTGAACCCAGATCCCTGAACCTTTGGTCCCATGACTAGATCATGTCTAAGGCTCCTTCCACAAGTAAGATTTTGTGGCTTGCAGTGGAGGGAGGCTCCATGATAAAACCACGGCCCTCTGAAGTATTGAAGAAGTCAGTGTTGTTTTAGTGATGGTACATGCAGGTGTCCCAGCTTCACCAATGTTTGTATTTCAAGAAAGAACCCTGTGCCTTCTGCCAAGGAAAGAGAGAATGGATTGACCAAGACTGTACTAACATATGCAAGATCTGTTTCTTTAAAGAATCATTCGATTGGTTCTTGGGGAGAGAAGTTGGCATGATTGCCACGTGGATCAGTTTTAATGATGCCTTTTCCTAACAGCCGATGAGCCCTGTGGGAATCCTGCTCTCTCTTCATAGGCAGGGAATCCAGAAAAGGGGTCCCAGGACAGTTCAGACCCAACAGCACCTTTGCCCAGCGTGTGCTCTCCTCCTCCTTGAACATCTACTGAAATCTCTTTCCCTACCTCCTCCCCCTCCCCCTTCATGATCAGATGGGATGGGTAGGAGTTCTAAGCTAAGCTTTCCCATCACTTAGTGCAATGCCTGGCACATAGCAGGTGATTAATAAATGTTTGATTGATTGACTTAGACAGTGATGAAGTGGATATTATGCCAGGCCTGAGGTCAGGAAGACCCGAGTTCAAATCTCATTTCAGATTCTTACTAGCTATATGACCCTGGGAATTCACTTCACTGCTGTCTACCTCAGTTTCCCCAACTGTAAAATGGGGATAATAAAAGCACCTACCTCACAGGATTGTTGTGAGGCTCAAATGAGATCATATTTGTAAGAAGCACTTAGTATAATGTTTGGAGAATGTAAATAATTATCCTCTTCCTTTCCTTTCTCTGGGACTAACAGAAAAATGTAGAGTAAGAGCTAGAGAGAAGACTTTTCTTTCTCTACTACACTGGGGAAAGAAATGGGTGAGGTGGTAGTTCTGTGTTCTGATATCTTACAGTAGAGGAGGGCAGGGTAGTCTTAGTCTAATGGGATAAGAAAGGTGAGGTGGTGCTCAGTGTTGATGGGAGGTGATCCCATGTCCTGGTGCCTCCAGGAGAAAGAGGAAGATGTGTTAAGTATCTCCAAAGTAGGGAAAAGGGGTGAGGCAGTGGGCTGTTCTGCATGGACCTTCTGCAGATCTTCAGTAGCTAGGGATAGCATGAGGGCACTGAAGGGGACAGTTAAAATACAGGGCAAGATTCAGAGAAGGATGGCGGATCCACAGTTGGAGGTCATCTCCTTATTTTACCGAAGATAGAGAAATCAAGTGATTTGCCCAAGTCACGTAATTAAGGATAGAAACTTGATTTGAACTCAGTTCCCTTGACTCCAAATTCAGCGGTCTTTCTACCACACAGCATTGTTGGGACTGAAAGTTTAAGTAGATTGGACTGAGAATGAAGAGAACTTAGGTCTTAATGTGGCCAATAAACCCCTGTGTGATCTTGGGCAAATTATTCAGTCTTTTTTCCTCCTCTATAAAATGGAAATAAAGTTATCCAATCCTACCTTCCTCAAAGGATGATTTTGAAAATCTAAGGAGATAATGCAAATGGACCATTTCATTGTTGTCATGGATTTGAAGCTGGAAGGGACCTTAAAGGCATTCAATCCCAATTTTTTCATTTTACAGATGAAGAAACTGAGGCACTGAGAGACTTTAAGAGACTTGCTCAGTATCATATAGCTAGTAAATGCCTGAGGTTGGATTTGAACCCAGGTCTTTAAATTTGTTTGACATGGTACCTGGCACATAGTAGGTCTTGTTGAATTGAAAGCATTCTGTAAGCTATTAAACACCCTACATATGTATATGGTTATTACGATGTGGTTATTGTGACTTCGCTGTTTTGCCAGTGGTAGGAGGATATGTAGCTAAGACTCTACTCCTGGTCTCAAAGAGGAAAAGAGAATCCATACTTATCCCATGAGGCTTCTTGGAACACTTACCTTTGCCCAGTGACATAGCCAGACTCTTTTTTCAGGGAATTGGGGGCATTTGGGAAGATTCCTACTGACAGTTTCCCTGAACAAGAAAGAAAAAAAGAAGGGAAGGAAGGAAGGAAGGAAGGAAGGAAGGAAGGAAGGAAGGAAGGTAGGAAGGAAGGAAGGAAGGATGGATGATAGATAGATCCCATTCCTCCTTGCCAGTACCCAGGATGATAATTGGG